CTCTATGAACATCAGTGACATCAATGAGGTAAAAGAAAGAGTTCAGAAATTAGCTCAGGTTAGTGGACTCTGTTGGAAACATGGACGCCTCTAGTCAACTAGTCAGCCTTTGGATTTTTCATTAGTCGGATCTAGACTGAATCTGCAGCAGTGGTCACTTAGATGAAAGGTCAGCGCAATAATTCCAAGAAAAACATCATAATCTCCAACAACTTTGGACTCAAAAACATTTTGACACAACTGACTCTTAAGAAAAACAGACACAATATCAGCAACTACCTCCTCCAGACTTGAACAATACTGTCCCTAGTGTTATCTAGTCCAAAGTTGGCAAAACAAAAGAAAAGAAACATAGAAACGCAGGAAAAACAGAGAACTTACCTGGCTGCAATGATGGTGTCGAGCGACACCGATGATGGTGTCGTGCGACACTTGTTCTCCTCGTACCGAATTGCAGCAGACCAATCCGAATTTCTGGTTTGACTCCGGTTTCCTGATTTCCTAATATTTTTTTTTTTTAATAGAAGCAAGTGACAAGCGATACCGAATGTGGTGTCGAGCGACACCAGTCTCTGCTTCACCAAAATCACAAAAACCAAAAACGAAAATTAGCTGAAACAAAAGAACTTATGTACAGACTTACGAGTGGGTTGCTTCCCACCAAGCGCTTGTTTTAAGTCATTAGCTTGACTATGGATAGACTATGCATCTGGTGGTTCAGACAGTGGCAAAGAGTGCCTCTGTGAAATTCGTCTCATCCATGGTGGTGTGTAAGCGTTGTGCGCATGAGGTCGTCCAAGGAATGCAGGAATAGCACCAGGGTGAGATCTGTGTTTAGGTGACTTCAACCTATTCCCTGCAATATCATCAATAGAAAAACCAAGTGTTCTACGATAATCTCGTAGCTTGCGTCGAGAGACCGAATCTGCATCTTTCAAATCAGTTTTGATGATATCGCAAGAATTAGGATTAGGCTCAAGAAATGCGTACCTTTGCTTTGGTGGAGATGGATGGAGTGCAATGTTTGGAGCTTCCTGATCAACAGCAGTCACTGGTTCTGTAGACGTTTTCGTCAACTCAGGTTGATCTCTCACCTTCTCAGCATCAAACACGTTCTGATCTCCAACTATCACTTCAGGTATTGCACTGACTTGGAATGTTTGACCATCTATGGTGGGATCCTTCAACTTCTCCATCTTGAAAGTCATGATGGTATCTCCCAGGTGGAGATCAAGGTTACCATGCTTGACATCAATTACTGCTCCAGCTGTAGCTAAAAACGATCTTCCTAGGATAAGAGGATCTTTGGGTTCCTCTCCATATTCCAGAACCACGAAATCTGTAGGAATTATGCAATCACCAACTTTAATCGGAACATCTTCCAAGACACCTTTTGGGATTCTTTTAGATCGATCTGCTAGGACTAGGGAGATCTTAGTTGGTTGGAAATCAGTCATCCCAAGACTAACAGCTACAGAGTATGGCATTAGGTTAACACTTGAACCAAGATCACACAGCGATCTCTTAAACCTCTCTGAGAAGATAGAGCAGTCCAAAACAAAGCTTCATGGGTCTGAGAGCTTCTCTGGAGTCTTATTATGAATCATAGCACTGACCTGTTCAGAGATCATCATCACTCCTTCCTCATGACTCAGATTATTAGTCACCATCTTCTTCACATAGTGTCTGAGAGTAGGAGCAATCTTCACAGCATCAACCAAAGGAATCTCAATCACAAGCTTCTCCATCAAAGCCTTGCATCTGGCATCATCTATCTCCTGCTTGGACTTCCTAGGACTCCTTGGGTAAGGAACCTTAGGTTTGTAAACCTTTTCCTCAGCAAATTTCAGACTTTGAGCAATATCAACTTTGCTCTGCAATTGGTGACGCGCGATACTGGTTATGGTGTCGCTCGACACTGGTTATGGTGTCGCTCGACACCGGCTCTGCAACTTCAAAATTTTTTTCAGATTCGTCCAACTCCACGATTTCATCCTCTGAAACACCCTTTTTCAGCACATGAGTCAACTTTTTACCACTTTTTAACGAGATGGCACTGCAGTAATGCCTAGGATTGGTTTCAGTCTTCCCAGGAATGAATCTTTCTTGCCTTTTTACAGACTCTGCAGTCTGAGCAACCTGAGTATCAAGCTTCTTGATATGAGTGTTCAGAACTTCAATTTTTCCATTCAGATCCAGATACAGAGCATCAATCTTCCCATTGAAATCCACAGTCATCTTCTGCTGACCTTCCAAGATCTGTTCCAGCATAGACTTCACCTCATTATCTGGAGTTTGAGTAGGAGGAGAACCATAGTTCCTTGAAAAACTGTTGTTGGAGTAGGATGTCTGGTACTGAGGTTTAGAGTTATAACCAGAAGAGTTCTGATTACCTGTGAAGGTACTCCTCTGATTATTTCCATTGTAATTCATGTTCCCTGGCTGAGTACCAAATCTCTGGCCCTGAAATCCAGCTCCATTGATGAAGTTAACATCCTCTTCCTCAAGTGCTTCATCTGGTTCAAAATTCTTAACCTCTGCAGCGTATCGGACGGACTTCTTACCCACTAGAAGGCTATGCACAGAGTCTAGCTTAGCTTTCACCTCAGCAATCTACGATCCATCCATGTTTCCACCTTGTTTCTTTCGCTGATAGTCTGCATTCTTGGTACTATTGCTAGATGCCAAGTTCTCAATAAGCACAACAACATCTTCAGGGTATCTGGTGTTGAAGTTCTCATTGCTTGCAGCATCAAGAGCCATCTGATATCTCCAATCAACACCTCTGAAGAAAGTACCTAGCAGCTGAACATCACTAAAACCATGATGTGGACAATCTCTCTGATATGACTTGAATCTCACCCAAGCAGCCTTGAATGCTTCAGTTGGTCCCTGAGAAAACGTTGAGATTTTGAGTCTCAACTCTTCAGACCTGGCATCGTCATAGAAGTTGTGCAGGAAGGCGTTCCTGGTCTCTTCCCAAGTGGTGAGTGATCCTGGCTCCAACTGCTTTAACCAGTTAGCTGCTTCTCCAGCAAGAGAATAAGGAAACAGCTTGCAGAAGAGGTAGTCATTGGACACTCCATTGTATTTGATGCTGGTGACCAAGTCCTCAAACCTCTCGATATAATCCATCGGGTGCTCATGAGAAAGACCATGGAAAGGATGCTGACTCACAAGAGTGTAATACACAGGCTTGAGCTCAAAATCGTTCCTCTGAAACGCAGGAGCGCGAATCGCGGACCGATTTGCATAGAATTGCTTAGGCCTGTTGTAGTCACCCAGTGTCCTGATGATGTTACCCTCTCCATCAAGTCGCTGGCCTCTCTCATTACACACATGACCATCTTGGTCTCTCCAGACTCCAGCATCATCACGAACCAATGCCAATGCGTTCTCCATCTCTGCTGGTTTCTGAGACAAAGAGAAAGAACAATGTAAGTAAAAAAGTAAAAATAAAATTAAGAAAAACGACGGGTGTCGCGCGAGTCGCTCGACACTAAGAAAAACTTAGTCGAAACTCAAGAACTAAAGTTTAATGGCGAAAATCAAGTCCCCGGCAACGGCGCCAAAACTTGATCTGCTCAAAGTTTAATCCCTAGAGCTACTCTGCAAGAGCACAGATGTGCAATTGTAGTATGTAGGGGTCGAACCACAGAGACAAGAGATCACTCAATAAACCTTATAGAGATCGAATTACGCTAAGCAGAAATATTGTAAATAAATAGCAATGCAACAGAATTAGACTAAGCAGCAATAAAAACGGTTTGTAAGATTCAGATGGATGGAGATTAGGCTTAGGGCGTTTCTCAGGAGATCAATGAATGCTGAACAATCGATTATTCAAGGTTAATGTTTAAGCACGGTTCTTGAACTCGAATCACAAAATTATAATTAACCAACTTCCGTTGTGAGAATTATCTAAGTTAAAATCCTAGAATTCCAAATTCCTTTGCAAACCCTAAAGATTTAAACCAGCTTTAATGCACAAGTTCGATATGTTCACAAAGTATCTAAACCAAATTCCTTTGCGAATAGCTACTTTGCTCACCCTAGATTCTTTCCAGTTATTCAATTACACTTCCGTGTCAATCAATTAACCTAAGATCTAAGTTCTAGGTGGCCAGTCCAGAATTAACTTTAAGAACAACCTATGGTGAAGAACTAAATAGATTATGAATCCTAACTAAATCAATTAATCAAACATCCAGAGAAAACCTTTATGAGAACCCTAAACCTAACAAGCAAACTACTCAGACATGGAGATTGAAGCAATAAACATGAATGAATAGATTGCAGAAAAGAAATAATAGATTAATAGACTGGGGTTCGAAATCTTCTCTCTCCAGAACAGAGTTTCAGACTTGTCTCTCTAAAAGCTCTAAAAAAACAAAAGTTCTCTCTCAGAAAATCTAAGGTCTCGATATAAGGTGGCTAAAAACCCTATTTATAACTTTAAAACACGTTTTGAGCTTCTTTGTAATTATTGGAGACTTTTGGGACCAACTCCTTCTTCAAACAGGAAACAAAATCGCATTTTCCTTATTTCTGCAACAAGTGTCGAGCGTCACTCTCCATGGTGTCGAGCGACACTAAAGCACAAAATCCATCCTTGACGAATTTGATCCTTGTTTAGCTTCAAAGTGCTCCAAAATCAGCAATTAAGCTCCAAACGTACCTATGACCTGAAAAGACTCCAAAAGACTCGAGAAACACTAGAAAAACTCTATAAATAAGACATATACCATGGTTAAAAACCATAAAAACCATGATATATCAATTTATATCTGTATATACGTGAGTTATAAATAAAAAAAGTTTCCAATTATATAAAAAAAAGCGGTGGTGGATGTGAGAAAAGGTTGGGGCTATATATAGGTGGGTGAGCTAGGAGCTTAGGCTTTTAACATAAATCTTCTATGTTGATGTAACCTTATAAATTAACTTTCACATTCCACAACATTAACGTTCTTAAAAACCTCTCTCTCCCCCCACTCAAATTAATAACATATAAAAATACACTCATATATATATTATATATATATATATATAAATATATGGGGAGGCAGCCATGTTGTGACAAGCTAGGAGTGAAGAAAGGACCGTGGACGGCGGAGGAAGACAAGAAATTGATAAACTTTATAGTGAAAAACGGCCACTGTTGCTGGAGGGCTTTGCCGAAGCTGGCCGGTCTCCGTCGCTGTGGGAAAAGCTGCCGTCTACGGTGGACCAATTATCTACGACCTGATTTGAAGAGAGGTCTTCTATCCAACGCTGAGGAACAGCTAGTCATCGACCTTCATGCTCTACTCGGCAACAGGTTTGAGCTAGTTTTAACCAGTTTCCCATTATATTTAACTGATCATTTGTCTTGTATTATTATCATACATTTAGCTAAGTCGCACGTCTTAATTTCACCAATATATCCCTATATCATATGCATGTTGTGAGTCTTGTACAATCATATGAATTATGATATAGTCACAATTTTGTTCATATGATCCGATCGAGGCAACGTAACGTTTACATATATTCATATTAGCTTTCAACTTAACTTAATTTGAGGTGTCAATTTGTGAAAGAAAAATATACTTTAACATATATGTTGACTAATGGTAAATGCATGTAGACAATGTTATTCTGATGTATAATTGAAAATTAATCCAAAAATTAATGTTTGGATCACATGATTGAAGAGCTTCATCAGAAAACGATACATATCTAATTAATAAGTTTCCCTTCTTTGAACTAAAGTCTTCTATATTTTTAATTTTAGAATTGGGCATATATCTCATTTTGAAATTAACTTCGAGACAAAGTAACGTTCCTCGCTTCTATATATAATATAGCATAACTTAATAATCAATTTTCTTTGTGCTATATTCCAAGACTGGAGACTTTGACATCTCTACCAACACCTCAAAAAATTATTGTCCAAGGAAAACATATGCAATGTAACTAATCATATTTCTTTTGAATTTTTTTTAATATATATAGATGGTCCAAGATCGCTGCAAGATTACCAGGAAGAACAGACAACGAAATAAAAAATCATTGGAATACTCATATCAAGAAGAAGCTCCTTAAGATGGAAATCGATCCTATGACACATCAACCTTTAAACAAAGTATCTACCGATAAAAAAGCATTCCATAAATGTGAAACTTCATCGAAAGCCGGCAGTGTAAAGAGAAATGATAGTAAAAGCAAAGAGATCGATGGGACAACGATGATAAATTCCATAGATGAAAGTAGCACTATCAGTCATCAAAATAGTCCACATGTTGATTACGAGTTACTCGGTGATATTATTCATAACGATGACGATTTGTTTAATATTCTATGGAACGACGATGAGCATCCTCTAGTCGATGCGTCATGGAGCAACAATAATGTCGATGGTGGTGGTTCGGCGGCAGAAAATAATAACTTTTCCGCCGGGGAGGATTTTCCGACATGGCCATCGGAGGAAAAGAATGTTGAGAGTCAGATGTTTTTGGATTATTGTCAAGATTTTGGTGTTCAAGATTTTGGTTTCGAATGTTACCATGATTTTGGTCAGAGCTCAATAGAGCCTGGTCACAAGGATTAGCATTTGCAAGCATATACATATACGCACCTTTTTTATGTATATAATATATATTTACGCATATCATAGAATCATAGTAACATAACAGTTATGTATGAATCATGTAAAGCAGTAAACAAGCACCATGGTTTGTATAAATAAAGTATAATATTTAGGTTTACAAAAGTATGATTAGGAGTTATGGTTACTTCAAAGTTCTTTCCATTTATGCTACATTAGTTTTTATTTTTGTCAACTTATCCTATGTTTAGTTATCTATATTTCTTTTGAATATGGATGAGTTCAACCAACCAAAATCAAATGTACCTACAACTAGTAGGAAATGAGGTTTGGACAATATGGACACTAATGCATAATTCGTGACTTTTAAATTAGAAGTGCGACTTAAAAAATTCATCCAAATCCCAAACAGCTGCTGTCTTTGTAACTCATACGAAGAAAACCGGGACCATTTATTTCTCAGATGCGAAGTGAGTGAGCAGATCTGGGACCTGATCATACACAGGCTTGGTTACAGAGTTTTCTCCTTTCACACATGGGCTGCTTTCTCCTCTTGGCTTAGTCTTAAGGATCGCACATCCCCAAGAATCCTCCGGCGACTTTCTGCTCAGGCCACTATTTACAGTATATGGAGAGAAAGAAACACAAGACTCCACTGCAACATCTCCACTCCTCCTCATGTAATTTTCAAGGCAATTGACCGTGGTATTCTTCTACGGTTTCTAACTTTATTTCTAGACTAGATTAGTTCTAAAGGTGGTTGTTTGTCACGGATTAAACTAAAAACCTTCTCGTTTTACTCGTATAACACCTTAGACTTTTCCCTGTTTTTAATTTTTTTTCGCACGGAAAAGTCTCTTGGAGCTTCCCTTTTGAAATTCTTTACAAACTCTTTTCATATTAATGAATATTCAAATGCTTAGAAAAAAAGTGCGACTTAGTATATTGCACCTTGTTTTTGTTCATCATTGACCAGAGAATAATATATCAGATGAGAAATAGCAAATAAATTAAATCTATTTGTCAAAGGACATTATCATTTCACGTGGAATTGAAATTTAAGTGGATTTCCAAATTGGACATCTACATCACATCCTGGGTGGAATCAATTGTCACAACAATATTTTTTACATTCCATTGCAATTTGAAGCAATTTCTCTTTCTGTAGATCACATTGAGTAGCAACCAATATGAACCAGACAAAGATCTCGTATTATATATATATATATATGTGCATATATATTTTAAAATTAAAATATTAAGTAGAATAATTACGTTAATATTAAATGAAAACATTGCAAAAAACTATTTTGTATGAATTTAATATATAATTTATTCTTCAAATAATCAAATTAAAAGGTGAATATATAGAACTGTGTAAAACTAAATAAGCCATCTAAATATGTGTTAAAATCTAAAACAACCTTAGAACATCATTTAAAAATATTTAAATATTAATAAACAGCAAATAAAAATAATGCATATATTTAGCTACATCTAAATTGTCTCAAATTCTCTACCTATATTTTCTGTTAAATTTTACACACAAACTTATGTTCCACTATTTTTTGTTTGTCTTATACGAAATCTGAATTAATGTGTTATACAATTTGAGCAGATTTAAAACTAAATTTTGAAACAATTTCAACATTTATTCGTTGATCTGCATTTTAATTGGTACATTGTATTTAAGTTTGGAAACTGAAACTTCGTGGGTAGCATCTCCTAAACGTGAGAGCCTGGTTCTTAGCTTCTTGTAATCCTTTCTCATTTATTAAAGAAAATATTTTTGGGTAGTCATTTATAAAATAGATTTATTTTCGCAATATCAAATACTGAGCAATGTAAACTTTTCGATATTTTTATGTATTTGATAACATATATGAAAAATAATGTAAGCTGATAAATATAAATCTTTTTTTGCATAAAATGGAAAATAATACACCAGTGATTTGACGACAACAACAATATTGAAGCCCAAGAATTCAAACTTGTGTATGAAAAAATACATAAATAACTAACACACAAGGTCGTCAAGTGGAGCCAAGCCAATTTCTTAAATGGACACTCAGAAGTTTTTTGATCAAAACGAATTCAGTTTTAATAAAACATCATAGAGATCGTCATTAAGGCGATCCCGACCAATCCAGTTTCCGCGAGTTTGGTTGCAACACCCTTGTCATCTTTAGGTGGTCCTACAATTTTTAAGTTTCATGTAGTAACAATAAAATGATAAAGAAAAGTTTCTATCTATTCCATTTTATTTGATGAAAAGCTTGTCCAACATTCCTCTAAAGTTCTTTGCATTGTATTTTAAATGATCATTTACGTTGTTGTAACTAAAGAAAAAAAATGGTAAAAAAATTGTTTCTTACCTGAAACTGGTGGAACCCCTTGCGGCAACGGTGTTTTTGGGGCTTAAGAAAAGGGCAAAACAAAAAACAAATTGATATCATATATATAGTATGCTTGTAAATATTTAAATTTTCTCAATAAGTTTTCGAATATAAATGTTACCAGAACACATTGAAGCATCGATTCCACAACTCTTAGGGATGAGAAGAGCATTGTCGACGGTGAGATTGAAGCCAGCCAATATCTGCGGGTTCGTAAGGATATCGCAGAGGCACTTCAGCTGCGTCGTCACCGCTTTGTCTAGGCTTGTGCAACATTCTGCTGACGGTTTTCCTCCTTTTATAAGTGCCGCTGCACAAAGACCTAAATCCGCCCCGCAAACCATACCTGCGTTAGGAGGAGGGGCCGCAGCTCCTTGCCCTTTAACTACTGTTGCCACCATTAGCGACACGGTTATGAGGACAATGGTCATAGTCGCGGCCGTTGTTTGAGACATTGCTAATGTTAGGGGATATAATGTGATTAGATGATATAATGCGTATAGGATATATCTTGTTTTTTCGGGTTTTTAAACTTGGTGTCCCTCTCCTTCGTATTTATAGACAACCATGTGAATTATTTATTAGAAATTTGTAGCATAATATATATATATATATATTTATGTGATTTTGTTGTAGCTTTTAGCTAGTCCATTTTAAATTCGGTCGACCTAGTGTTGACAGCAATTAATGTAAATAGCTAAATGCTAACAATAAAAATGTCCAGGAAGTAAGAATCACATTCGACATCAGAAATAGTCACTAGTCATTACATTTTCCCTATGATCCAAGAGGGTTGAGAAAAATATAGAAAATAGTTACCTTGTACATGTGTCTATATATGGTCATGACCCGTGACTACTCGGCTGTTCTAAAATTCTTATCCATACTTTTCTCCAAAATAATCTGTTTGTAGTCATTTTTTATTAATTAGAATATTTAAGAATTGTGGTTTTGCCAACATATCAACGAAATATAAAATAACGACCAACACATTTTTTATCTATATATTAATTCTACAACTTTTATACGTGGCTACAACTGTAACCAATCTACGAGGAAAAGGTCGACAAATACTTATGTAATCTTTTATCTTTGTTAATTATAGGGTTTCTGCAAAAAAAAAAACCTCTTATTTTATCCAAATTTATAATAAAGCTCATCAGCACGGAATAATGTAGACCAATCTCCCATGTAAAAGTCAAACCAGGCCAATCTGGACCAGGTGAATATTTTTTTTCGGAAAAAAATATTGTGCAATAATTTTTTTTTTAAATTGACATACTTACGTAAAATATATTATTTTTTAAAAAAAATAATAATAATCATAGAAAAATATTTGATCTAATCAAAGAAATTACCATTAATTAGATGAATGTTCTTCATCGTCACGAGCATCTCCTCGTATTCCACTCTCTTTCCCTATCCTCAATCCGTGTTTTGATTTGGTATCTCTACTGTCCTCAAATTCTTTGCATCTCAGCCGGTGAATCCCACTCTTTACCGATTTGCATTTTTGCATTTGCTTTATGGCTCCTTTTTGTTTAAAATTTAGACCCCAAGCCCCTTATGGTTGTTCTGTTTTCGGAATTAGCAGTCACTAGGAAGAGAAATGATAGATCATAGATTACCCTGTAATAACTAGGACTTTGATGCGCCTGATGATCATGATAATTTTGCAATGTTTTTTTTGCTGCTAACTTGTACATGATTATTGCCAGCGGAATTTTTCAATTTCAATGTTTTTTTTTGGTAAACTCACCTTCTATTCTTTTCTGTTTAATTATTAATGGAGTAATTGGATAGTCTAATTCTCTGTATATGTATACTTATTATTGAATGTAACTGATCAAAACCCTATTCTTATGTTTCTTCAGGTTCATCCCTTGTGTATTATATATCGTATTGCTTAATGAACTTAGCATGGTGATGGCATGTTGTATATATATATACTGCATTTGGATTAAAGTAAATTAGTGCATCTCTCGCGATGAGATGTGTTCATTTTGACAATTTGGGTTGTAAACGTCTCATGGTGCTTCTGCAGCTGAATCCTTCCTGCATTATTGCTGATTATATAACTATTTTTTTGAAACGATGTTTTAAACTCTCTTTGTTTGGAGACAGAAAAAAAATTCTTTTTGATTTTACCTAACTTAAGAGGAGCTTAACCTCACATACTCCTCTCCCTTATAAGAAATTCTCATATACTCTTTCTATCTCTATATTTTGTTTTTGATTTTCTTTTTAATACAAAAAGGTATAAAAAGACCAAAAAACCATTAATGAATAACCAAATTACATATCCAATTTAGAATACCGGACTCAAACCAAAATCCAATTTAAATAACCAACTTAACCGAAATGATTAAACTAAACCAATTTAATTATTTTAAACCAGCCTTTAAACCATCCAATTTAATTAAACCAGAAAGCAAACCTAAACCTAAACCCTACCCCCTAAAAATCGGATCTATTCCCGCCTCTTTCGTCTCCCCTCTTCGATTCCATTATCTCCATACTCCATCATTTTCGGACTCGTCGATTCCATCATCTTCTTCCATCATTTTCGTCTTCTTCCATCATCTTCTTCCTCTTCGATTAAATCCCCAAACTCTTCGGTCACCGCCACTCACTCGCACTCACTCTCCACTCTTCACCCTTCTGATTTAGGGTCGTCGCCGTCGCCGTTTTAGGCTTGCCACCACCGCCGTTTCACACTTCCGTCATCGCCGAACAGGTATCTTCTAGGCTTAAGAGTAATTAAAACCTTAATTTATGGATTTTTTCCCTCAACCCTAAACCCCAACTGATTTCTGATTTTTTGTTTCAGAATTTTTGGAGGATGTCGACTAGGGGTTCACCTTCTCAACCAGAGAGATCTGAGGCTGAGTATGCTACTGCATCAGAAGAAGGATTGGGTTCAAACTCAAATGTTGATCCATTACAACCGGTATGTAGTTTAGTACAACTAGAATTATCGTGTACAATTGAGTTTTGCTTGTGGTCTACCGGTATGTAGTTTAGTACAATTGGAATTATCGCGTACAACTGATTTTTGCTTGTGGTTGAACGAAATGTAGTTTAGTACAACTGGAATTATCGCGTACAACTGATTTTTGCTTGTGGTTGAACGAAATATAGTTTAGTACAACTGGAATTATCGCGTACAACTGATTTTTGCTTGTGGTTGAACGAAATGTAGTTTAGTACAACTGGAATTATCGCGTACAACTAATTTTTTGGTTTTGGTTGTACCAAGAATACTAGTTGTACCAAGAATACTAGTTGTACCAATACACTTATATTCACTTATCCTATGCGTTTTGATTGCAGCAAGAGGACATCTCAATACCGATGGAACCTCGAGGTTTATTCTTCAAGCAAAGCGAGTATCGGTTATACCCGAAGCTTCAATCAAGGTGTGAAACCTTTAATTTCATGGAAGTCTTCAAGAGGCTTGATATCTCAGAGAGAAACTGGTTTGAGAACCACCCACAATTCAAGCATATTGTCTACATGTTTATCCAGAAGAATAGAATGTTAATGGGAATGTGGATGTTGCTTCTCCGAACAGCAGTGACAGACAAGCAGCGGCAGTGTTGGTTTGTTGTGAATGGTGTGCCTGTTCGGTATTCAATCAGAGAACACGGCCTTCTTTCAAGATTATTCTGCCACCATTATCCAGCCGACTATGAGCAGTTAGGGAGTATGTATTTTGTGGAGGAGCAGTTTGGAAAGACTAATATTGAGGTGAAAGAGGTGCGTGAGAAGCTGGAATCAATGGATTTCATTGAAGGTGGTACTGATCGGTTGAAGATGGTTGTACTTTTCTTCTTAGCAACTGTCATCAAAGGAAAGTCCAAGAAATATGGTGGATCCATAGACCCATTCATTCTCCAAGTGGTGGATGATCTGGATCTGTGTGAAACGTTTCCCTGGGATCGTTTCACTTTTGATGACGTCTTAGCTGAGGTTGCACATCTGGTGGATCATTTTGGAGGATCTGTTCAAGGGAATTGGACTTTTCCGGGGTTCATATTGCCTTTAGAGGTAATGTTATATGTTTTAAATTTAGTATAACTTGTACAACTAAAAATCGTAGTATTAGTACAACTAGTATTCTTGGTTCAACTTGATATAGTGTATAGGTAGTAGTATTGGTACAACTCGTGTTTCGGGTACAACTAGTTGAACTGGTATTATTGGTAGAACTGGCATAACTAGTACGTTTATATGTGCAGATTTTGGCGTTTGAATCTATCCCGGTTCTAAAAGCAGCATTTCAAGAAAAAGTTGGGAATGCAGATGGTGATTGTCCAAAAATGTGCAAGTGGAAGTTTAAGAGAATAGGCAAAACAGGATTTTCTTTAGCTGATATTTATGAAGTGCTTGGAGATGCAAAGGTTTAGGAGTCTCCTTTAATTTTATATTTATACATTATTAGAGATTTAGTTTAATTTAATTTTTGTTTTTCGTTAAACAGGATATTATTAGTATCTTGGTACCTGAAGATGGAGAAGCCAAACTCTTGCTTGACATCCTAGCCGAGCATGTATGTGATGACTTCGAAGTAGGAGAGGATGATGCTGTTTCTGACCCTGTTGTTGATAGTTGGCACACGATTTTAGTCCAACAAAAGAAGAAGATACACTTGAAGGATCTGTACCTATTAGATGTTAAATCCCGAGAAGACCAGCCATTGCCCAAACCGACAGATACTGAAGCGGTAGGAAGTGAGGATGTGTTGAAGAAGATGGAAGAAGGGTTTATAAAGATTAACGAGAAAATGGAAGAAAGGTTTAGGAAGATTAATGAGAAGGTTCATGAGATGGACACAAGACTGAAGTCTGTAGAAATGAAAATAGCTGATCAAAGGAGAGATTCAGATTTTATGGATTTTCAGTATGAAGATGTGGGGAGAGTGTATGAAACAGGTGGAGGATCAAATGCAAGAGGTAAAAAAAGATATTTATTTCTTTCCTCGCTCATAAGTGTATGTTCAAAAAAAATTTTATTTTGCAATGTAGGTGATAAGGGTATGGAGGAGACACCTGCAGAGGAGACTAGGGACGCACCTGCACCTGTACCTGCGGAGGAGACCAGGGACGCACCTGCACCTGTACCTGCGTAGGAGACCAGGGACGGACCTGCACCTGTACCTGAGGAGACCACAGACGTACCTGCACCTGTAGTGGAGACCACAAACGCACCTACACCTGTACCTGCGGAGACTCCTGAACCACCAGCAAAGAAACCACGCTACAAAATATGTATGCAGAAGAGTGCTGAGGCTAAAAGGACGGCTGAGCTCATTAGGAATAGGAGAAAGGGTAAACCATCGAGGCATAGATCCACTCCTTACGAAAATGATGCACCAGGAGAAAGGAAGAAACGAGAGGCTGCAAAAAAGAAGTAGAAGAAACAAGTTTTTTTTGGTTTTTGTTGAAACTAGTTATTGGTTTTTGGTGAAACTAGTAGATGGTTTAGGTTGAAACTAGTAGGAGGTTTTTTATGTTTGGTGAAACAGGTTTTAGTGGTATGTTAAAACTACTAGGAGGTTTACTGTTTTAATTAAATTATGTTTTCAGATTTTTTAGTAAAACTGGTATTATTGCGTACAACTAGTGTTGTTGAAACTAGAACAAAAGGAAATTTTCAGGCCCAAAAACCACATGTGCGCCGTCAAATTACACGAGCGCCGTCAAATTACACGAGCGCCGGCAAAATAATTATAAAAATAATTAATTACTTTTTTCGCGCCGTCAAATAATATACAAAGTTGTACCCAAGTAGGTAAGTTGTACTCTATTTTTTTTATTACACAGAGTTGTACTTTCATAGATAAAACGATTTTATTAGTTATATCGTACTAGAAATTACATTTTTATAGTTGTACTTTTGAAAATAGTTAATAATAAGACATTTAAGACACATATAGATAATTAAATGTATAAAATTATGTTTTTTTGTTAATTTCTTATAACTATATAGCATTAGTTGTAATAGTTGTCATAGAAGTATAAGGTATATGTTATGAAAATATGATTTTTGTGTTCTCAATATTCAAAAATGCATCAAGTTGGATTTACATCATCAAAATAGATATGAAACTAAATCCTTAAACACATACTGCTTTCCGAAATGCGATATTTTAAATAAAACATAAAAAAGAAAAAAAAGAAGATCCAGTACCTGATAGTTGTACTAGTTGTACCCGATAGTTATACTAGTTGTACCTGAATAGTTATACTAGTTGTACCCGATAGTTGTACTAGTTGTACAGCGATTACTATTCTCCTTTCTCTTGCTCTGGTACATTAGGATCATTAAACAACCATGCTCCTAGTCCTCTTCCTCTTCCTCCTCCTCTTCCTCCTCTTCTTCCTCTTCCTCTCCCTCGATGTTCTCCAACTGATGGATGCCTAGTTGTGTTGATGCGTCCTTTTTTCTTAATTATTTCTGGAGGAAATATACATTTTGCTCGGATATTATCAGGAAGAACCCAGTCATCTTTATGGGGGACTGGATAGATTGTCCTGCAGTAAGCCAACGACCAATGTTCCATCCAATAATAGTGGGAGCAAAATTCACGTAGATGGAGCTCTCTATCCCCGCTCATAAAGATAGCAGCTGCTATTGCATGCATACACGGATACTTATCGATATCAAACCTCTTGCAACTGCAACTTTTATTTCTCATATCAACCAGATAAACCTTGCCATCACGCCCAATCACATTGTACTCAAGGTGGTAGCTGTTTAACTCATGCACCGTCAAGGTATTTGCTTCCACACATCTCACATGCATTTCGTTCTCCACATATGGCACAAGCTTATGTGCCGTAGAAACTTCATTAGACGCCTTCCTATACTTGTTAAACCATTCTAATTTTGCAATAATCACATCAATCATTGGTAACAGCGAGTATTTCCTTGCTTCTACAAAAACGCCATTGATAGATTCTGCACAATTGGTGGTGTCTATGTTATACCTGTCTCCGGGAAAATAGCATCTTGCCCATTTCTCCTCACCAACAGTTCTGTCCAGATAGTCGGCTGCATCTGGATACATTTTCCTAAAAGCACTATATAGTGTCAAGAATTCATTCTCTGTATAAGCATGAGCACAAGCTCGGAACTTCTTCGCACAAGTCGCTCTATTGACTCCACTGACATTCCCTTTCACGTTTTGAGACAAATGATATATACAAACACCATTCTGAGACAATGGAAAGACCTCACGTATTGACTTGAGGAGACTTACGTTTCTATCAGAAAGAAAAACCAGTTCAGGAACATCTGGTACAACTGATCTCAACTTGCTCATAAACCACATCCAACTTGCCTCTTTCTCACCATCAACTACACCAAAAGCAATTGGATAATGGTGATGGTCAGAATCCTGAGCTGTAGCAACAATTAAAACACCACCATATGCATTTTTAAGGTGGGTAGCATCCACAGCAATCACTTTTCTCATGACTTGAAAACCCTCAAGGCAAGCTCCCAAGGCAAAGAATAGATACTTAAACCTGTTTCCCTCATCCAATTCCACATAAGTGCGTGTACCAGGGTTCATGTACTCTAGCATATACAAATAAGAGTGCAACAACTGATAACTCTCCTCTGGACTTCCCCGCACATCATTAGCAGCTGCTCTTTTACCTCTCCATGCAGTAGAGTATGATACTTTAACACCAAATGCGTTTTGAACCAAACCAATCAGTTCTTGTGGTGCTGGAGTTTTAAGTTTGCCTGGATAATCAGAATGGCAAATAGACCTGACCAACTGTGGTGTGCCTTTCCTTCGATTTTTGCTTGTAACTGTAGTAGCTCGAGAACATGTATGAATCTTGATGTACGTTCTAACTGAGAAAAGATCTGAATTCTTCGTCTTTGCAGCTCGTAAATACCACTTACACCCATATTTTGCTCCACGACATTTTAACACATATCGACGTGTATCTGACTGGATGATATCAAACTCAAAACCATTTTTACGGGAGGCTACAAACACTAATTCTTGTAATGACTCCTTTTTGCCAAATTCTTGTCCTACAACTAAATCAATACCATCTTCCCACGTATGATTCACGTACACATCTCCTTCTACAGCAGGTGCCACCTCAATATCATCATACATACCAAAGTCTTCATGCACATTATTTCCAACATCTTCACCATCTTCACCATCTTCATCATCTTCACTAACAACATCTTCTTTCTGCGGTTCTGATGGTTCACCTTTGTAAAAAGTATCCATACCATCATTAACATCATCACCATGTTGTGGCTCTGACGGTTGCACAAATCCCTCATTTTGCTCAACATCTGTGATGAGCTCCACATGCAAAACCCTTCTACACTGATTATTATTCACTTGCATTAGATAACCAAATACATCTTCATCATTCCGAACATATGATGGCTTCTTGGGATCCAATATCAGTGGAAAGTAGCTAAGTCTAAGCTGCGTCATAGCTCCATCTACCATAAGCTTTTTGCAAATTTTATCAACCAGCCCATTGTAAGTGATCTCTTCCATAGATGTCTTAATCACTAAAGTATGAATTTCAACCTCTTCTGAGTTCCACCTCATGTATTCACCGTCCTTTGAATAACATCCCCCCGAATCAAAACATATGATTGTGCATCGAGTGTTACTCATCGTTCTGTTAAAAGAAAAAATAAAAACTGTTAGAATATATTTATAGTTGTACACCAGTAGTACTAGTTGCACCAGTTGTCTAAGGAAAACCAGTTGTACTAAAAGCTTCTGATTACAGATCGACGCTTCTGAAGATTCATACGTATTCTAGTACTCTAGTATACTTAAATAACCAATGTAAAGCCCGAACAAACGTATACATAAGTTTACTAACAGAAAAAAAAAACCACAAACATAATTTCCAAACCCTAAATGCATAAACTCGTTTTTTGTTGAAAAAAGAAGAATTTACCTTCAAATCACGTTCTGGGTCGTCGAGATCAGCTGAAAAAATGCTGCAGGATATGTATTTGTCAAGGGTTGAAGATCGCTGAAGCTTCCAGAGTTTCGAAAGAAGATCGCTGAAGCTTCAAGGGAGCTGTAAAATTTTTGTTTTCTGGTTTCACGTACGAAGAAGAAAGAAAGAAGAAGAAGAGAGTGGGTCCCATTAACATTAGTTGTTGTTAGGTGGTTGGGCTGGGTAGGTTCAAAGTAAAACCAAAATTAATTGGTGTGGGATGGGTGAGAGCTAGGTGAGAGATTGGTTTGGTTTAAAGAGAGTGGAGTCCTTCTTTAAATAAAGGGTAAAGTAAAAAGGGGGAGGTGAAAAATAGAGAGAAATATGTAGAATAAAAGGGGAGTATATAGAATTTTTTAAACTCATTAAGAGTATTTGAGGTTAAAAGACATATCAGATTATAAAAAAGGCAGTGGTGAAGAAAGAAGAAGTGGAGGTTAGTATCTTCAAGTTAATTTGCATCCTGTTTGCAATTTACATGGTGTAAAATACTTTCAAAAATTTGAAAATGGTCACCATGTTTTCGTTTTAAAAATTCTATTCTTAAAGATCTATTTTCTTTTGGATATAGTTCACTACTCACCAATTTTTTTATATATTTTCATTCATTTTGAATTAACACTTTATTGCATAAAAATCAGTTTTCAAAACTTATTTTGAGATATATTTTAGTGATTGATTATCGTTTTATTTTCTAAAAAATTGTTGAAATGCAAAAAATTACATTAATCTAAACTTGTGCGTAACGCGGGTATTCTCCTAGTATTATCAAAACTTTTGTAGTAACGGTTTCCAAAACAATCAAGACTAACCCGAATCAAATATTTAAATCGAGATCTCTAAAACGCATATCCATATTTGAATTTAATTTATTTACTAATTACTATCATAGCATTTGGAAACGGAAACTTTCATCGCCTACAAGATTTAGCCGTTATGAGTAAGAAAAATTAACAGATTTACCCTCTTTAATTGTATATTTAGTCATATTACCCGCAAAGTCAGCCTTAGCGTACGTAATTTTGGCTTATGGTTCCATTTGTTTAGTCGCACGACTCGCCAATTAGGGGGTTTTGAAGTAATATAAAGGCTACGAGTGGACTTGGCCATTCTTCTTCACGCTATT